TTTTACCCTTCCCTCAATTGGCCCAAAAGACGAGGCCCAAACTCAATGGCACAAAAGCCTAAATAATGGCCCAGTTCCTAAAGATCACTCAAAGCCTAATATGAGCCCAAATCAGAAAGACTTGTGGCCCAACAAGGGCCCAAAACGCTAAAGTCCAAAGGCGGCCCAACATCAAAGCCCATGACCTGGTCGCTAATTTGGTGACTTTGCATGGCTTAAATGGACCCAAACCTTAAATTTAGCATCCTACTTTCACCAAATGGACATATACTCATGCATGGTTGATCCTCAACCATCAAGATGCTAACTTTATAAGCTAGGAATCTCATAAACATCAAGAGGAGCAACTCATAACCTTTGGAGTGACAAATCCCCAATAGAACTCATGCATGGGACCAAAATGTGCTAAAAAAATCCCTAGACTAGATCTAACAATAGAGTCATCAAGGTAGAAGCTTTATACCTTAATGAAGCTAAGAAATGAGAGTAAATTCTAGATCTACATGCTTCTACTTGATCAAGGATCCTTCTCCAAGTTTCTTCTTCTTCAAGGATCACCAAACACCCACTAAAATACACACAAATGGGTCAAATCTCTCTAGATGAGCTAGGGTTTCGAAATGGGACTCAAAAGGGCAATGGAGGTTAGGAAATGAGAGAACCTTGGGACTTAAGGTTGCTTAAATAGGGTCCAAACCCTAAAAATTAGGGTTTTTCCCCTGATTACGTACGCCCAATGTACAGGAGGTATGCCAAGCGTACGCACCCTCCTCCCAAAAATTACAATATTGCCCATAAGGACCAAAATTGCAAACGAATTACACACTAAGGGCCCAAAATGAAAATACATTGAATCGGTTGTTACAACCACTACGAAAAAAAAGCGTGCAACTATTAAAAAAACATTTTTGTAACTACGTAAAAAAAATATGTCACTCTATCGGGAATTACCAAGCCAAAAAAAAATTACAAGTTTACAACTTATAATTAGCCACATAAGAGCCCAATGTTTTAATCCACTATTGCCTATTAATTGTATTTATAGCCCAAAGCCCATATAAAAATGAATTGGATAAAATAGCTCAATCCTAATTGCTTGTAAAACTTTTGCTAGAAGAAAGAAAAAAAACGCATGAGGCAAGCTTATTTTCCCTTCCGTCCACTGTTCGGCTGTTCCTTCGTGTTTCTTCCCCCTGCATCGAGCCATCGACAAAGCTGAAGGAGTAATGGTCAAGGTTGCCTTTCTACTTTCTTGATTACCAAAATCGACTTCATCAATCATCATTCACTCCAAGGTCAAAGCCCTAGAATGAAGTAAGTATTACTGATAATTTAAAATTTTACCAATTCTTTTAGGTATTCGACATTGGTATGTTTTGATTAAAGTTATTGTTTGACTTGAGTGAAATTGATATGTTTTATTGAAGTTATTGTTTGAATAGTTTAAATTGCTATGTTTTTATTGAATATATTGTTTGATTAGGTGAAAATTTTATGTTTTATTGAATTTATTGTTTGATTAGGTGAAATTTCTATGTTTTATTGAAGTTATTGTTTGATTAGGTGTAATTGTTATGTTTTTATAGGTTAAACTATGTGGTTTTTTTTACCAAAAGACCAAGAACTAATCTTAATGAAAGTGGAGAAGGATGTTACCAAACACCATCACCAATCAATCAATCCTTTCTGTTTCTAATTCTAATGCAACTCCATAAACACCAATCACCAATCAATCAACCCCTTCGGTTTCTAATGCAACTCCACAAACTCCTTCCGTTTTTAATTTGTAATAGATCGTTGTTATGTTTTTAACTTTTTATGTAATGGATCGCTTTTTAGTATTAGACGTAATTGTGAGTGATTAGGGTTTACGCCTAATCCCTTTAGGGTTTAGATTAGGTCTCTTATGTATCCCTATTTATATGAGGTTTAACCTCACTATTTATCAATGAAGCATTCTATTATATTACATGATATCATAGATCTAGGTTAAAATCCTACCGCTGACCACAATCCGCTACCGCCACCCTCCACCTCCGACGACATTCTCTCATAGTCGCCTGAGGTGCCTTCATTATGCTTCATATTCCCTTTCTTTGTTTTTTTTCTCCTCCTAAATAATAAAACAGCCGCCGACACCAAACTAGAGTTCTTACCTCGGCTTCTTCTATTGCCTCGTTTGCTTATGTCTCCTCGTCGGATGGCTCTTGCCTTCTCCTCAAGTTTCCTCTTCTTCAAATCTATTTTCCGAGTCAGTCGGAAGAGGCTCCGTCCGCCGCAGCTCGAGCCCTCTTTCTTTCTCGCTGCTTTTCTCTGGACTCTTCTGCCCGGACTCGATGATTGTCGTCGCCGCTGCTCCTCTCTTCTTATACAAAGGAACCGTCAATTGTCGCCGCAACTGTTGTTAGTCGTCATCGTTAGAGCTCTGCCACCGTCGATGCAGCTGTCTTCATTTATGTTATGTTTTATGTTTTTTTTTTACCGTTTAATCATCATCTCCCGATCAAACTGCGTGGGGGGGGGGTGATGTTAGTGATTAGGGTTTAGGCCCAATCCCATTAGGGTTTAGATTAGGTCTCTTATGTATCCATATTTATATGAGGTTTAACCTCACTATTTATTAATGAAGCATTTTATTATATAACATGGTATCAGAGATCTAGGTTAAAATCCTACCGCTGACCACAACCTATTACCGCCGCCCTCCACCTCCAACGACATTCTCTCATAGTCGTCGGAGGTGCCTTCATTATGCTTCATATTCCCTTCGCTTGTTTTTTTCTCCTAAATAAAAAAACAGCCGCCGACACCAAAATAGAGCTCTTAGCTCGGCTTCTTCTACTTCCTCGTTTGCTTATGTCTCCTCGTCGGATGGCTCCTGCCTCTAAGCTATATGCTTTCTCCTCAAGTTGCCTCTTTTTCAGATCTATTTTCCGAGTCAATCAGAATAGGCTCCGTCCGTCGGAGATCGAACCCTCTTTCTTTCACGCTGCTTTTCTCTGGACTCCTCTGCCACCGACTCAATGATCGTCGCCGCCTCTGCTCCCTCTCTTCTTATACAAAGGAACCGTCGTTGGCCACCGCTTCTTCTTTCTCCTTCTCCAACGAGCAGTTGTTGTTAGTCGTCATTGTTAGAGCTCTGACATCATCGTTGCCGTTGTCTTCATTTATGTTTTTGTTTTTCCAGTTTATTCGTCCCCTCCCGATCAAACTGTGGGGGGATGTTAGTGATTAGGGTTTAGGCCCAAGCCCTTTAGGGTTTAGATTAAGTCTCTTATGTATCACTATTTATATGAGGTTTAACTTCACTATTTATCAATGAAACATTCTATTATATAACAATAATAATTTATTATTTTTCTGTTTTCTGTGATCGGATTTTTTTTGACAACACCTACTATAAATTTTTGCGTCCGCCCCTAGATATGAACATTACATTATGTATTACTAACGTATTATACAACTATTTCATAATTTCGAGTCTAATAATGTATTTTATTGGATTTTAAATTCAAATCATTTTATAAAAACCTTGTAAATACTATAATTCAAACGGCGAGTATTCGTATTCAATTGAAGTTTCAAATTTTTGTTATCATTAGAATTGAACACAAAAGACTTAAGAAAAAATAACATTAAGAAAAAATCAATGTGGCCAAAGTATAAGATTTTGGGAAGGTTTTTAGCATGTGTGCTAATTCATACACAATATTTTTTTTTTCCGTATAGAATAGTTTATGTTTTGTAGACTTGTAAAGTATACCATTTAAAAGCACACATTGTTATGGACCGGATTCATGATTTTTTTTTCTAAATATTTTATCGGTTTGAGATGATTATAATATTAAAATTATATTTGTACGAGTTATCTGCCATCGGATCTTTTATATTTTTATGATATTTGTAATTTTATTATTAATATATATGATTTCAAAATTATATTATAATATTATATATATAATACTAAAAATAGAAAGTTTATTGCGTAATTACTATTTACTTTTAAGAATAGAAAAATAATCATACTGTTTTTATTAGTTATGTATGATGTATGATCTTGATTAGTTTATCAGGAAATTTACATTTTATACATTTTGTATGCTGATGATTATATTTGTAATAATTGTAAGATACTAGTTGATTTTGTTAGGAATTGAAAAAATCAAATAATTCAAGTTATTTTTTGGATAAAATTATGATCGGGTTTTAGACAATGAAAATTCAAACAGGTAATTTTAACTTATAAAATCATAAATGAGATTACTTATAAAAGTGGGTATACCTGCAAACCCAATGAGTATTTAAAAACCAGGTACCCGATGAGATATATAGAGTCGGTTTTGAGATATGGTTATGTAATTCGATACATGACTGCGATCACCGATTAATGCTCATAACATTCCATTCCTAATAGTGAAAGATAAGATTTTATAAAGTCATAAATCGACTAAACAATATTTACAGTTAACAATTGTGGATGCTTTGATTTTGATATATATGTTTAATTATGGGTTAAATTGTAAAAAATATTTTAGACAGTTTAAACTGAGCTAGCTACAATATGTGATACTTGACTTGCCCCGACTAGTCCCATCTAATATTCTAAACTTGATCCCACCTTGCTCACCACAATGATTCATGCCTTCCTCATTAATTAATCTCTACACATACAAGTATAACAGGTTCCATTAGTCTACAATTAATTAGTACCAAAATCACCTACAAAGACTTGCAAAAATCATCAAATTCAAAAAATTGACAACCGTTTTGATACCTGAAAATTCATAAGATCGATGACTTCCCAAACGAGAACACCAGACGTCGACTTCAAAAGAAGAAGGAAAGCAAGGTGGTGGTCGTATATAATTGGTGGTGTCATATTCCAGATATTCATAATACTTGTATTCCTTTACATAATCCTCCGTGTTCGAAGCATAAAGCTTCGTCTTCATTCCGCAAAACTTCAAAACCTCAAAACAAGCAATGAATCATCCTTTACCATGTTACTTCACACACAAGTAACTATCAAGAACTCCAACTTTGGTCATTATAAGTTCGATAACAGTACAATTGTTTTAACCTATAGAGGAACTCATGTGGGTGAAGTAGGGTTTGGGAATGGGTACGTAAAAGCTCGATCAGTGAAGAAGATTGATATGGTTGTGGCGGTGGCCGTGGGTTTAAAAACTTGGTCGGATCATGGTGGTCCGGGGAAGATTACATTGGCGGCCAAAGCACAGGTGACCGGAAAAGTACATATACTGAAAGTCATCAGAAGGAGGAAATTGGCGGAGATGAATTGCAGCATGGATGTTGATATAAAAACTCAAGCCATTGATAACTTGCATTGCTGGTAATCAATCATATATATATTCAATTCCACGAATGGTTAATAACGCATTAAATATACTAAACATGTTAATTACTAACGTCGCAAGTTCACATGATAATTAAATTAAAGGTTAAATATGTCATCATGTCATGTCGTTCTTTTGTAGTAATATAGTGTGATTGTTATATAATCTTACATGGTTTGATTAATTATGATTCTTTTTGTATCTGTAAGATGTATTATATGATTATTGATTCTTTTTACGTACGTAATTTAAATTACGGATAATATTATTAATTGAAGACTATTTTTTTATGTTCTGAGTCGAGAAAGGGCAAATATTCTCTGGTATGTGTTTTATATTGAAATTTTTTGTTTTATAAGTAATCATTATTTAAAGTTCATAACATGATTATGTTTTATACAATAAGTTGTTATAATAAGATAATTTCAAATATTCTAGAGGATTGATTCAATTTCAGCATTACTTAAAGACAAAAACACCCTCTAATTAATTAAAGACCTGACGAAAGCAGCCAAAGAAAAATCAAAGCGTCTAGAATAGAACATAAAGAAAAAGAAAAATGTCAAACAAAGTTAAACGCCATTGATGAAGTCTCTTCGTCTCCACCATTATCTATATATACTCGCATTCGTACCCTATAATTCCTTCATCTGATAACATTATTAGTTTGTCGCCGAATATAATTTCAACCACCAACAACAAAAAATGGTTCCGACTAATCCTTACGGCCATGTCAACGAAGACCTTTCCACCGTAGCCATCGACGCCCGCCGCAAGAGACGAAGGCGCTGCCTCATGTCCGTAGCAATCGTCGCCGGTTTTGTAGCTGCACTCATCGTCCTCTTCTCTGTAACCGCCGGAAGCTTTCGTACCCCCAAGTTCCGAGTCCGATCTGCAACTTTCCTAACTTTCAACGTCACAAACTCAACAGCAAATCCTTCATTTCAAATAGAAATGAACACAGAATTTGCTATAAAGAACACAAACTTCCGACGGTTCTGGTACCGGAGCACAACCGTCGATTTCTACTATCGGGAACAGAAGGTCGGTGACGGGTTTGTCTGGAACGAGAGAGTAAAAGTCAGAGATACTAGGAAGTTTACTGTTCCGGTGTCGTTGTCGTCGATGAATGTTACCTCCTCGTCGGAGTTACGAAGTGATCTGAACGCTGGTGTTTTGCCGTTGAGGAGCCGATCCAGGTTGACCGGAAAATTTAAGATATTATTTGTGTTCCGAAAGTATAAGCACGTTAACATGGATTGTTTCATGGACCTTGTTATTGCAACCAGGGAGCTCAGAAATATATCTTGCCGCTGATATGGGTTGTACTGTATGGAACTAGTGTATTTTACTTTTTTATGATTTCTTTTGTAATTTATTGATTTTGATTTTGTCCATATTATTTGTATTTAGAGCTGAAATTATTTTATAAACATATATGACGCTTTTTGTTTCAATTTTACTTTTTGGAAGCATTCAGGTCTCATTTGAATATTTGATGGCTTGAAAAAGCAGGTCTAAAAACATGTTAGAGATAACTGCAAATTTAGTCCATATATTTTTGTTGTCTTTTGTTTTTTGATCTTTTATGGTTCTAAAATTACAAATTTAGTCCTTTACAATGGTTTTCATACAAGTTTGTCAAGATCAGGATTATATATACGATCGTTTTCCGTTTACAAAAACATAATCGTAAGATCATACCAAAAGTTTTTTAAAACATAGAAAAACATTTTCCTGCATTAGATAACTATTCTTTTAACAATAAATAGTTTAAAACATAAAAAATACATCTACAATACATTGTTTAACAATAAACAATTCAAAAGAGGTTTTCTAGAGTTCATATTCAATGTACTTAGTTAGTGCAAAACAAAATATAAGATTTAAAAAAAAAATAGTTACCTCGGAACTTATTAAACAATGTATAAAACAATGTGCCCCTCATGAGGGTAAAATTTTCTTTTACTCTCAACTACTAAACTTATTAAACAATGTATAATAAAAATCAAGTCGTTCCCACCACCTCACACCTATCCCTTTATCCCTTCCCCCACATTACCTTTAGATTTGTTTCATTGGGTTACTACTCTCGATCATCTCTTTCTCCGCCTCCCTTGGCTGCCAGCTCTACCCTGCACTAGTAGAGTAGTAGTCATTCCCACCTCGCATCTCGGCTTCCACATTCCATTCCATGTAACCAGCAAGACCATTTCCAAAATTACACAGATAGAATCCTCAACATTGGGTGATAAATAGACGTGAATGAGTAGGGAGTCATCTGACTTGAAGGAATAAGGAATCGCAAGAGGGTTGTAATTGAGAAATCGAGTTTGGTTTTTAGGGGGTTTCATGTAACACCCGTTCCGAGAAGGTTTAATTCTAACCCTAGAGCGTTTTAATTCTTGCCATTTTGGTCTGTACGTCGTGCGTACTCGAGGTGTACGCATGGCGTACTCATGCATGAGAAAAACGGGACTCGCACACGTACGCCAGATATACTCAGCACACTGCGTGTACGCTATTCAGACCAAAACCCTAGTTTTTAGGGTTTTCACCCTATATAATCCCCTTTATGGCCCCAAGACCTTCACCCTCATCAACCTCCACCTAAAAATTGTCCCTCTAGTTAACCCTAAGTGTGAAGAGTACACCTTGAGCTCACTTGTGTGTTTTGGTGGCGTTCTAGAAGAAGAAGAAGAAGAAGAAGAAGAAGGTGGTAGATAGACATTGGAGCTTGAAAGAAGTTTGGATCTGGGATTATCACCTTGATAGCAACCTTTAGGAGGTAAAAAGATCCTAGCTTGATCATCTTTTCTTGTAGATCTAGATATTTCTTCATTTAGGGCATTTTTGGTCCAAACCTTTGTGATTCTTGAGCATGGCATGCTCTTAACCAAATAAGTCGTCCTTTCAGACCCAATGCGGGGTCTTGAGTCATAAAAATGAGATCTTGATGCTTAGTTCTTCCCTATGCATGCTCTAGAAGGTCTTTAGGTGTTAAAAAGTTAATATTGTTGGTATTAAGAACTTAATGGGCATATAAAGTCATAAAGTTGGAAACTTTATGACTCTCAGTGGTATTTTGGCCTTGGATTTACAATTGGAACGAAAGAGCTTAACACATTAAGCTTTTAATATGGAAAAAGAAGCCCCGGTGCGTATGCTGTGCGTAACTCTATGTACGTCGCACGTACAAGGTCAACTACCAGATTCTGGTCAAGGCCCGTATATGCCCAACATACAAGCTGAGTACGCCCCGTGTACTCAACAGAGTTGAGCGAGTTGACTTGTTGACCTTGACCTTTGACCAAGTTTGACCTAGGGGTATTTTGGGTGTTTTGAGCTGTTAATTAAGATTAGGTCCTTGGTTTCGGTTAGGTGATCGCTGAACCGATTTTCGGAGCAGAGATTTGTTCAGCTTGCATTCCGACTGAGAGGTGAGTTTTCCTCATTGTAGCCGTGGGTCGAAGGCACCAATGCCGGCCCACTAGATTATTTATTCTGGTCAGGATAGTGTTATGCTAATTTATAGCTATTTAGTAGATCCGTATGATTATCTGTATTTGTTGGCTCTGTGTTTATGGTTATCTGTTACACATGTCGACATGTTGTGTTGGGTTGAGGCGGTTGTGCTTTGTGTTGTAGGCCAAGACACCTGGGGATGACCAGATAGGTTGTAGGCCTTGTGAGGCGGTCCAGTCAGGCCGGTAACCCGTAGAGCGGTCCGGATAGGCTGTAGGCCCTGCGAGGCGGTCCAGTCATGTCGAAGGCTCGTAGAGCGGTCCAGATAGGCTGTAAGCCCTGCGAGGCGGTCCAGTCAGGCTGGATGCTCATATTTGTATGCTTCTTTGCTATATGGTGTGCTGATACTTTAGGGGAACTCACTAAGCTTTGGCTTACAGTTTTTAGTTTATCGTTTCAGGTACTTATGAGGACCGTGGGAAAGCAAAGGCATGACTGTGCACATCTTCCGGTTTTATGTCAATAGGTCTTGGGAAAACTCTGATTTTGAAATAATGCTTTTGAAACAATGAATCTTTTTGTAAACAATGTTGGTTAATGGTTGATTTTGAAAATTGTAAATTTCTTCGATTTTTTGGAGTGTTACATTTCATTTGAGAAATCGATATTGGCTTGGTAAACCTTCCATGCCCCTCCATTTTCCTTCTTATGAAAATTAAATTTGATACTTGATGTTTAAGGAGACGATGTCACGCAACCCTTCTCTACCACTCTTTTCTTCCTTCTTGTAACGCCCCATTCCTGGTACGAAAGTAATTCTCTAAATGTTTATTTTATAAGAGCTACTCGACGAGTTGGTAGCCCTAACTCGTCGAGTAGGTGCGAGCTGGACCGCGGGGTTTAAGTGGACTACTCGACGAGTCTGAAATGGACTCGGCGAGTAGGTCCATCAGGAGGAAACCCTAATCCTTAGGGTTTGCACCCTATTTAAGCATCATTATGAGTCCTCACCCCAGCCTCCATCACCTCCACAGTCCTTTCTCGAAACCCTAGCAACCATTGAGTGTCTTAAAGCCTTTCTTGCCATTTTTGTGTGATTTGAAGTTAGGAGAAGGAAGAGATCCATTGGTGATTCAAGAAGAGGCAGAAGATCCAGAGTATTAGTTGCATTTCAGAGCTCTTGAAGGTATAAAGTTTGTTCCTTGACTTATTTTCACTTAGATCTTCTTGAAAGCTTGTTGTTGCCACTTTCTGGGTCCTTTCCAAGATAATTACGGGTAGAGAGCTTTTGGGTCTATAAGGACTTTAGATCTAGGCATTCTTGAGCTCCAGAAGCTCAAAGTTACCACCTTTATTCAGCCAAGATCCCATTCTATGCCCTAGACTCTCATTTCTAGCTTGTTTTGGGTGATTTAGCTTCATTGCATCATGCATGCACGTAAAGTTAGCAACTTTACGTGTTATTCTAGCCTAAGGAGTCCAGATCTATGAATTGGAGGCAGTGGAATCACCTAGGAACAACTGTATAGTTTGAACATGCAATGGACTCGCCGAGTTGTTCTTGGGACTCGACGAGTCGGATCGATGTCCCCAAACCCTTCTTCGATTATGAGTGATACCACTGAGTTAAGGAGATGACTCAGCGAGTTGGATAGGAGTGAGACTCGGAAACAAAGGAGCTCGACGAGTCCAAGGTGAGACTCGACGAGTAGAATCGAGATGTCCCGATGTTATGACCGTTTGAACTCGACGAGTCGGTAGAGGGACTCGGCGAGTTGGGTTGACTGAGAGTTGACTTTGACCTTAGCGTTGACTCTAATTAGAAGGGTAAAATGGTTATTTTACCCTGAGAGAGTAGTTATCAGTATTTGATTTAGTGTTTATGGGATTTGTAGCCGGGGGAGTTCCGGAGCAGCAGTCAGACAGTTTCAGATTTAGCATCTCAGCAGCCAGCGTTTCGAGGTGAGTTTTCCTTCCAGTAGGAACGGGTCTACGGCCACAATGCAGGCCCGTTTAGTTTGCAGTAGTTCCGGACTTCGGTTCGATGCAGTAGTTCAGTGTGCTCGATGTCTTTGTGATTCAAGAATCTCTTTATGTTATGTGTTCCGGACTTCGGTCTGATGCAGTATGCAGTATATGTGTTTATGCTAGTAGTTATGATTATGCTATGCTATGTTCAGTCAGTTCCGGACTTCGGTCCGATGCAGAGGGCAAGGCCCTGGTTAATTCCGGTTTTGGTTTCAGGTACTTGTATGGTATGTGTAGTTTGGGGGAGCTCACTAAGCTTCGTGCTTACAGTTTCAGTTTTGGTTTCAGGTACTTCAGCTAGCAAAGGGAAGGGCTCGGGATGATGGCATGGCACACACCACAGTTTTAGCCTGGGAGTTAGACTCTGATATTTTGATATGATCTTGACACTAGTTTCGATTTGATAAATTTATTATGACATTTTGAGATACATGATCCATGGATTTATCTTTTAATATTTGATATTATGGTTTAGTAAAGTTTTTAAACAAAAATTTTTGGGTTGTATTTTTGGGATGTTTCAAGTTGGTATCAGAGCCTTGGTTTGAGGGATTCAGGCACACTCTCGGGTGTGACTGGACTCAAACTAAGGAAATGGTAAAAAGATTTTCAAAAGAAAAATATTTTTAAAGGAATTTTTGAAAAAGAAAACTTAAAAAGAAAAGAGTTTTAGAAAAGCAAAAAGAATTTTTTTTGAAAGAAAAGAACTTTGAAAAGAGAAAAAAGGGTGTGGGGCATGCAATCAGCCGAGTTCAAGTAAGTACTCCCCAAATTACCCATACAAGTTTATGCTATGATTATCAGTTTCAGTTTCAGTAGAACAG